TTAAAACATTATGTATTTTTATTTATTTTTTCTCAGTAGTTTTTTCTTCTTCTTTGATTGAAGCAAGGATGAACGCGAACCACTTTAGATGACAAAATGGAAACTTGATTTTATGAAAATTACTTTTGTCATAGCTAACGTCTTAATTTTGAGCAGCGAACCAAGTATAACAAATGCACTGGTTGCCCTCGGGGGCATCGGTTGCAGATTTGCCTGACATTTTTTTTGTTTTTTTACGCATGCAGGATATCTAAAGTCAGAAAATAGTTTTTAGATTGTGAGAATTTTAGTGTGTGTGTGGGGGGGATAATAACTATTTACGAATACAACTCCTACTAATTAAACCCTAACTGGTGGATTGATAACCTTTCCAAAAGGTATTTGGGTGTATGTGAATACAATGAACCCGACTGGAATTGGAACTCGACTCTCGGATTTCCAATTTCAAGCCATTATCCATTATACCACCTGCACATACCAGCTTACAGCACTTGGTATTCTTAAACGGTCACCCATTAGATATTGACCAGGTAGATAGATGCTTCATTCAGATAAATAGATAGATAGATAGATAGATAGATGTTTAATTTAGATAGATAGATAAATAGATAGATAGATGCTTAATTCAGATAGATAGATGCTTAATTCAGATAGATAGATAGCTTAATTTCTCTCTCTCTCTCTCTCTCTATATATATATATATATATATATAGATAGATAGATAGATAGATAGACAGATAGATCGATAGATAGATGCTTAATTTAGATAGATCGATATATCTCTAATTTAGATAGATAAATAGATAGATAGATGCTTAATTCAAATAGATAGATAGATGCTTAATTTATATATATATATATATATATATATATATATATATATATATATATAGATGCTTAATTTAGATAGATAGATAGATAGATAGATGCTTAATTCAGATAGATAGATGCTTAATTTTATATATATATATATATATATATATATATATATATATATATATATATAGATAGATAGATGATAGATGATTAATTCAGATAAACAGATAGATAGATAGATGCTCATTTTAGACAGAGATAGATACATGCTTAATTCAGATAGATAGACCGACAGATAGATAGATGCTTAATTTAGATAGATAGATAGATAGATAGATAGATGCTTAATTTTTTTTATATATATATATATATATATATATATATATATATATATATATATATATATATATATATATATAGGTAGGTAGATAGATAGATAGATAGGTGCTTAATTTCGGTGATCGTACGTGTTTAAATGTCTATGGCCGTCAGCAATGCATTTCTGCAGCACTGCCGTCTGGTATTTCTCGCACTATAACATTAGTGATCAAGTCAGAGGATTGACCACCTGTAGTTGAGGTCAACTACGAACTTCTACTGATTGCAAAGGCCAGACAACGGTGACAGAGAGTGAGAGAAAGAGAGAGGGGAGGGAGAGAGAGAGACAGACAGACAGACAGACAGAGAGAGAGAGAGAGAGAAAGGGAGGGAGAGAGTTTTAGCATTTTAATTGGTTAGAGTTCGTGCGTACGGCTCAATCGAAAGCGAGGTAGAAAGAGGTCTTTCTGTTTGCTTTCTCTTTTACCACAGGATACCGTCGGGACAAGACGTGTGTCGTTTTCCTTCCGTCATACATTTTATCACTACACATTCCTTTCTGCTTCTTACAGCCGCCTTTGTTTAATTAGGCCTTACAAGCAGCATTATTTTTCCAAAAATGTTTCATGGGATTAGAGACTTTACTGAACAATTAAGCTTTAATAGGACTGGAGACCTTATTAATCAACTTTTAATAGGACTGGAGACCTTATTAATCAACTTTTAATAGGAGTGGAGACCTTACTGATCAAATAACCTTTAATAAGTTTGGAAAACTTATGATCAATTAACCTTTAATACGATTGGAGAAATTACTGATCGATTAACCTTAAATAGGATTAGAGATCTTACTAATCGATTAAACTTTATCTTACTGGTCAATTAACATATAATAGGTTTAAAAACCTTACTGAACAATTAGCATTAAATAGGATTGGAGACATTACTTATCAAGTAACAAGCATAAATTTTAAGAGAAATAAATTAATTTTGATAGCAGTTTCATTATTCGATCTGGCCTGAAGCTTGTTTCATATGATTATAGACGCTACTGTAATAGGATTAGAGAGATTATGATCAGTTAATCTTTATTAGTATTGGGGTTCTTACCGCCCAATTAATCTTTAATAGGATTGGAGACATTATTTATCAAGTAACAGTCATAATTTTAAAGAGAAATAAATTCATTTCATTTTGATACGAGTCTCGTTTTATCTCGTTATATATATATATATATATATATATATATATATATATATATATATATATATACATTATGAAATGGACTAAGTCCGACAATTATTTTAAGACATTTTTATGTTTATACATTGTTTTTATAGATACAAATATTTAAGTAAATGCTCTGTTTTATAATAAACAGTATCAACAACATTTACCGACCTGAATGTCCGAGAAATTTTCATAGAAAATATGCGTCCTCCGATGGTAACTGTTATTAATACTGCTTATTATAAACAGAGCATTTACTTAAATATTTGTATCTATAAAAACAACGTATAAACATAAAAATCTTAAAATATATATATATGTATATATATATATATATATGTGTGTGTGTGTGTGTGTGACACATTATAAAATGGACAAAGTCCGACAATTATTTTAAGACATTTTTATGTTTATACATTATTTTTATAGATACAAATATTTAAGTAAATACTCTGTTTATAATAAACAGTATTAACAACATTTACCGGTCTGAATGTCCGAGAAATTTTCATAGAAAATATTTGTCCTCCGACAGGAATCTAACGTGTATTCTATACGGAACCGTCATATAGTCTGACGAGCCTTTTAACTGATTAGGCCACAGAGGATCCTTCGGTTAGCAAGGTCGATTTCACTGTGACGTCATTTGTTTAAATTTGGATACGCATTGAGCAGATATGAATATGTGTGAGAGATTCATGGAAAATTGTAGCTTAAAAGCAGTAAAATCGACCTTGCTAACCGAACGACCCTCTGTGGCCCAATCAATTAAGGCACGTCAGGCCGTATAGGATACTGGTTCGATTCCTGTCGGGGGACGAATATTTTCTATGAAAATTTCTCGGACATTCAGGCCGGTAAATGTTTATCATAAACAGAGTTACTTAAATATTTGTATCTATAAAAAGAATGAATAAACATAAAAATGTCTATATGTATGTAAGCTAAGCATTGATTATGAGTTATTCATGGGATTTCACTGAAAACAAAGATCAGTGTCTATCGAGCAATCATTCTAACTACACACACTTCTTTCTTTATGGGTCAGAATCGTGGATGCCATACAGGACGCACCTCAATCAGCTTGATGCTTTTCATAAACGCTGTCTTCATTCAATATGCAGTTATACACGGCAGGACAAAATCTATAACCCTGATCTTTTCATTAAATGTGGTATCGGTGGTATTGTATCCTTTCTGATGCAATCACAGTTCAGATCGGCTGGTCATGTCATCAGAATGAGTGATTATCGGATGCCGAAAATCCTCATGTATAGCCAAATTTTTCATGGTAAGCATAATGGAGTCCGTCCTTGGTTACGCTTCAAGGACAAAGTCAAATACAATTTAAATGCTGCAAACATCGCTATAGAGGAGGACGAATTCGCTGTTGAAATCCGAGCAAACTGGAGAAACGCCTGCTACCGTGGGATAACTGACTTTGAAAAGAATTGTCTTAATCATCTGAGAGAATTAAGAATTAACACTAAATCTCGGGCTAACCCATCATCCAATGTGACGGTCAACCCATCAGCATCTCCCTCATGTGGACTTGTTTGCAAATACCATGCAGGATTGTTGTCTCATACGAAGCATAAACATAAAAAACTGAACTGAAAGACACTCATACGTCGAAAACCAGTCCATCACACACACACATATATATATATATATATATATATATATATATATATGAAAATGTATATATATATATATATATATATATATATATATATATATATATATATAATTATTTATATATTATATGTGCGGTACTTATTAGAAAGCGCTCAATATCAGAGAGAGCTAACATATTTGGTTGGATAGATGTGAGTTTTGTGACCCTGGGTTTTCATGCTTTTGACGAACGCAAAAAACGTGAAACCCAGGGTCACAAACTCACATCAAATCCAACCAAATATAAATATATATATATATATATATATATATATATATATATATATATATATATAAATCAATTAACGAGGCTATAATGTCAGTTAGATGCAAAAGGCTACTTGGAGTGAAAGAGAACGAGAAAACCTTTGAAAGAACGTTAAAGTCAATCCAAAACAAAGGATAAATTTCTGATCTTGCACAAAAGAGTGGGGTGGAGTGTCAACCAGACAATAGTCGAACCTATATCGATCCTTAGTATTTGGAGGAGAAATACATCGACATCATTTTGATTATATTTGTTCGAAAAAGATTATAGAAGCAGTAATCTTCGTAATTTTGAAGTGAAATAAACTGACGCCATTTTGATACCAATACCTTCATCAGTCGATAGACACTACCCACGCAACAATAGACATCGTATACCGTTCAATATTTTCATGAATAAATATTTATTTTATTTTTTTTCCGCCGCAAAAAATATGCTTGTTTCTTGTATTTTTGTAAAAAAAAAATCTCTTGTTTCCCAGCGTCTGAATCCCAACGTCTCAACCGAGATCAATATGATTTTATTTCGCAAATCGATTATCGATTTATTTAAAAGGCATGGCATCTTATAGATTCTGTATTATTTGCAATGGATTTAACAGATTCTTGTGGACACTAATCGAAATGCTAAAATCCTAAAAAGTTGTATATATACACCTGAAAACGTAACTTTTTCATGTAAAATGCGAACTTAGATAGATAAATAGAAAAGAAACTGAGGTAGACAGATAAAAAGAAAGACATAAAGACACTGATCGAAAGAAAGAAAAAAGGAAAGAAAGAAATGAAGACAAACATAGAGAAATAGATAGAGAAAGAGAGAAAATACATGAGGACACCGAGATAGATAGATAGATAGATAGATAGATAGATAGAAATGAAACTGAGATAAGAAAGAAATAAAAACACTGAGATAGATAGATAAAAATAAAGAAAGAAAAAAGAAAGAAAGAAATGAAGACACTAAATTAGATAGAGAGAGAGAGAAAGAAAGATACTAAAATAGATAGGAAGAGCGAAATAAATACATGTAGATAGATAAACAAACTGGAATAGATAGATAGAAAGAAAGAAATGAAGACGCTAAAATAGAGAGCGAGAGAGAGAAAATAAATGAAGACACTGAGATAGACAGATAGATAAAAATAAAGAAAGAAAGAAAGAGTGAAATGAAGACACTAAAGTAGAGAGAGATAGAGAAATACGTGAAGACACCAAGATAGATAGATAGATAGATAGAAAGTAAGTAAGTAAGAAAGAAAGAAAGAAAGTAATGAAGACACTGAGATAGAAATTAAATCACTGAAAAAGAAAGAAAGAACGGAACAGTTGTGAAGTGTAAGAAAAGAAACTGTTAGAATAGAAATTGCGGTTGCATCTAGCTAGTTCAACAGAAAAAATAATGGGACCTAATTGCCAATCTAGTAGCCCACTTAAATCCATGTAGTCGAAGAATCAGGTGGGAAAGCTCATCAGAGCAGTTGCAGTTAAAATATTTGTAGAAAAGAGAGAAGGAAGCTACGTCATGTCGGTGACTGAAGTCGAGATGCCAGGTTAGAATCGATTACATTGCAGACACTTCTTTGGATTTTGTCAAGAATCTCGAAATGCACAGCGGAAGCAGCAGACCAGATATGGCAACAGTATACTGTAGAATAACAATACAATAAACAACACTTACCGGTGTAAGAGTCCCAGCTAGCGTCCAGCTGGCAGACAAAAATAAATCAGGTTGTAACTTAATACAAACCCTGCAAACTAACTGAGGAATCAAGCTGGTATTTATATAGAAATAATTCCACTCAGGTACCAGCAGCCAATCACAGCTCCATTGCACCATAAATAGCTCTCTTTCTCAATGTTGAATTAGTATTCACTCCACAACTGAGTGTTTATCTTGACCACGTGATTGTTCGACATATACAATTCACGGACTAATGATAGATTTATAGACGTGCAAGATGGATTCTGACGAGAAGCGTTTTCTGGCACGACACAGTGAACCAATTTTCCTTGCAGTGGACGTAGCAATTGATTCGATATAGTCGCTTCCTTTAATGTCAGTGGAAAACATGAGGCCAAGAAGGCGAAGAGTGTCGGTCCTTTGGAGTTTAGTATCATCCATGCTGACGACAGGTAGAAATAACTGATTTTCGTATCGTTATACTGACGCTAGATCGAACCTGGTGTAACTAATGCCCATTGAACTACATGTCACTCGTTGCGAGTCATCCAGCATCCATTTTAAAATCATCTATTCAGGTATTGTGCTGTGTCCGGTGTATTTGAGTTAATATCGACAACACGGTAAGTTTCCTGATTATATATCCCATGTAAGCTAACATAAAAGTGCTGGATATGTGTCTGATGCTTCGGGCATTGAATACAGAACTGAACTCAGACGGTGTCTATTAACTTTTGCTATACACAATTCCCTTATCATGATAAATTATGACGTGTAATCGGTCATAGGGCTCTCCTTGCCAGGTGACAATGCCTCCCATTAACGATAGACGGTACGCACATGACACCAAAGATCAAGCGATGTTAAAATGTTCCATCAATTTCAAAATTAGATTTTTCCATCCGTTACCGTCGATCATACTGTTGTGGAGTTATTTCGCAGTGGAGGCTTGTATTTGTACTAAATCGGTCCTAAATATGTTCTACGTACAAAACGTTAGGAACTTGATATAATAGGTATTACGCAGAGTAATCTTGTTGTGGTCGCTGACTACTTTCGTATTCGACTAACTGTTTAGTAACTGCCCCATGCAGTCACATATGGCACAAGGCCGAATTTAATGTGGGGTTCCCGACCCCGTAGGCTCGGCCAAAAAATCCCCGTAGACCCCGCATAAACGGGATCGGGTCTGTCTACCTCCCCGGACGAAACTCTGCCCTTCGGCATAGCTTCGTCCGGGTTCCTCTTTGCCGGAAGGCAGAGAGTTCGACTGTCGTCCGACATCGACTAGTATTTAGTCACCCCCCACGAGGGTATCATGTGACACAAGGCCGGTTTAACGTGGGATCTCCAAGCCCGTAGGCTCGGCCAAAAATATACCCTTTGAACCCATATAAACGGGTTCAGGGTCGGTTTACCTCCCCCAACGAGACTCTGCCCTTCGGCATAGCCTCGTTCGGGTTCCTCCCCGCCCGAAGGCAGAGAGTTTAACCGTTCAGCCGGTCGTCCGACATCGACTGATCCTCGTTCCTCTTATTACTCCTACTTATATTAGGTGGGAGAGTCTATTAACTATAGAATAGGTGTGTTTCACCATAACACATACCATGTTTGAACTCCGTTAATTCACGTCGTTTTGCAAGGAACAACCATGTTGGTGTTCACATAACACATTGCAAAAAAAAATCATCAGACCGTGCTGAAAACATGCTCCAAACTTAATGAAAACCAAGTTTTATCGTCAAAATCTTTATGTTATTATTAAGAAGAAGGATCAAAGTAGTTTTTGAATAATTAATATTTTTTTACTCTTTTTTAGAACACTCGAAATTTTTATTAAAAAAATTGTTTTTCTTGCATCAGCAGTTATACTAACTTTTACTATAGCAAATTTTAGCCTCTTTTTTGTGGGGATTTTATTGTAATTTTTGAGATGAAGTATTTATTTATATAGGTACTGTCATGACAAAAGTACTCAGATGTAGGCTTTAAGAAAGTTTTATATCAACTGAGAATACAAGGTTGGCGAATAGTGTCTTTTTATAGTCCAAGTAAACAGCAATAGCTCTCTCAAAGAGGAGAGTAACAAAGCAAGTGGAGACAACGCTCGATTATTCATAACAGATACCTCAACGAAATCGCTAAAAAAATTAGCACACCACGATGAAAACATGCTCCAAATTTAATGAAAACAAAATTTTATCGTCACAATTGTTATGTTGTCAAAGTATGTTTTGATTATTTAATTAAATTATTTATTTCTTTATAGAACATTCGAATTTTTTTTTTTATTAAAGAACTTGTTTTTCCTGCATCAGTTGTTGTACTAATTTTTAGCATAACAAATTTTCATCTCTTTTTTTGCGGCTACAGACACATTATTTTGGAAACGCTTTCAAAAATCAAATAATTGTTGGATTTTATTAAGATTTTCAGGACAAACTAATGCAATTATTTTTGAATATTTTTATTTGAAGATATTGCTAAAATTATTTTTTATTTTACCCCCTTACTTAATTTTATGAAAGCTTGAGGATTTCATCGAGATAATTTTTAGTGACTATATTAGTTAAAAGCAGAATTTTTTGAAGAATTTAAATCACCGAGTTTTTTTTTTTTTGCAAAATCTGTTCTGAACCTAAAAGTAAAAAAATGTAATAAAACGAAGACATTATTTAACTAGAGAAGCTTTTAATTGCTTTTATGAATAATATATATTGAAAAACAATATTGTTTGAAGAAAAAAGATTTCCGATGAAAAATGAATTTTTACAAGTTTTTTTTTTCATTTTATACAACTTTTACAATTTAAAATTCAATAATTTGTAAAGTTTTTGAATATTTTAATGTTCAATTTCAATGAAGTAATTATTAGGGAATACTGTTATTAAGTAAAACTATATTTACTAATCATATATTTTAAAGCTTATTACAATCTGAAGACCCGGACTATTTTAAAAAGAATTTCGATTTGTTTATATATATATACATAGATGCGGAATTTCTGAAGTATGGTTGTCCTAACCGATTAATCTATTCTTAAAAGCTCACGTGTTTTGTTCTCTCGTTACGGAATGAAAACAAAATAATGAAATTTATCGTCTGCTACACCATATTTAACTATGAACACGTTCAGAGGGCAATACGCTGTCAATAAATCGATTAAAATGTCAGAAAAACAAAATCCCGTGGTTAGGAAATTCTTGTATACAAAACTTTTTAGTAAATATTTCTTTCAAATCAGATTCACTTAAAATTACATTTGCTAATTTTCCTCAAATAGCGTTTCAGAAATATATATATATATATTATTTTTGAAAGATTTTTAAAACAGAAAAATAAATTTTGTTTACAAATGTCTAAAAAATGGCTGACATTATCGATTTTACTGAAATAGATGGAAATCTATTCCAATCAATATAATTTATGTCTGAAATACACTAAAGTATTTTGCTTACGGGGTATAGTAAATTCAATCATTTAGCCTTCATTTAAATCTAAATTGAAATCTCCGAAAATGCTTTTACATTTAAAAAAATAATTCTAAACCATATGTATACCTAATTTGTGGATTGTAGGTATCGGTTTTTCTATTCGGTCAAGGTATAGTGGCGCCACTTAGCATTATATTTACACACTGTTAACCCAAGACTTTTGGCACGACAGTGTATAACTGAATGATTTCACAGAGAGGTCAATGACAAGTAAAAATAAAAGATAATGCATATCTGCAGACTGTAGAGTGAGTCGTCATGGTTATATGCAAAATAAATGACAGAACTGTCCAACAAACAGAACTGAGAATGTTTGTAATAATCAATAACCAGAAAAAGAAAAGGACAGGTCCGAAAAATAATAGAAAGCAAGCAAACAATATATACAAGGCAAATTAACAGCAATAAGGTAAATTAGCAGCAATAAGGCAAATTAACAGCAATAAGGCGAAGCAAAGGTAATATGAAGTCAGTGGATTCAGTGTCCTTGAGAACACATGACCCAGTGTATAAAAACGTTGCTTGAGTCTAGTGACTTGACTCAAACGGTTGTGAGTTCAATACCTGGTTACAGCAGAGGTGTAAAAAAAAATAAAATAAAATCGGAGAGCTGAGTTAAATGGCAGCTAACCGATACTGAGAAATCCAGAGGAGACATGGCTCGTGGAACTAGAACAATCTACCCCGGTGAACGAAAAAAAAGGTTTCAGTTCAAAATTTCAATCACCTGACGAAGGGCGGAGCGTACAACGGTAGAAACATCGTGAATATGGCAACAAAGATGAGCACAACTGTCTAAACAATTTGAATAGTGTAAGTAATTACAATACCTCATCTCAGAAATATAGACAGATCTACAGAGGATGTTACTATACAAGCCAAATTAACAGCAATAAGGCAAATTAACTGTAATAAAGCAAATTAACAGTAGTAAGTCGAAACAAAGGTAATATGGCAAAAAGTTCACAAACTAAGAATTGGGGTTGACGCACAAGTGCAAGTTCGGATAAGCGAACGTAGTATTCTGACTTCAAGACAAGACAGATCGGGACTGAGTCAGATGACACCGAGAACTGACCTGTTTTATTGGCTATGAAGAAATAC